AGAGATTTCAACAAACAAAAATCACACCGACTTTTTGAAAAAAGCTGATATTTTGACGCGAGAATTTTCGATTGAAAATTAGGGTGCTTTTTTGATATTAAGTCAAAATAAGGCGAAATAATAAATATTTCAAATCAAATAAATTAGAGTGTATTTGGGACATAAAAAGGTAAGTTTTCACCAAATTTCGTGGAAAAAACTTTTTTTTTGAAAAAGATAAAAATAAAAAACCAAAAACTTGGTTTTTTGAATTTTTCACATAAATTTTGAGGTCATGTGAAAAAATTGTAAATACAAAAGTTGTAGATCTTTTTATTACCTACAACTTTGACATTTAACTTTTTTCCATAGGACTTGTAGTTTTGCCGGAAATCGAGATAAACCATTTTTTACCCTTAAAACCCCCCCTCCCACTTCCCGAACTCAGATCGCCCGTAATTTATTTTTCCTATAATTTTTATTATATTCCCCTCCTTTTCCAATGGGTTTCATCCTACTGTTATTTTTTTTCTCTTTTTACCATTTTTAAAGGCTTCTGCACTGGTCTATACTGCCATTACACAATAATATACAGTTATAATAACATGTACGCTTCTCAAATTATTTCACGATCTGCGAAAACGCACAAAACATTAATCTTTTTAAGACCCAATTCGTATGTGCCATGGTGTATGACACCGTTTAGGACGTAACGGTTTCAATGATGGATGCGTGAATAGTAAGTTTTGTTTTACAAAGATTTACTGGTCCACTAAATTTAATCGTATAATTAAATTGGGTCAGTATGCAAATTAATGGTGCTGGCTTATAAATATGGGTTTTAAATTCATGCCTTAAATGTATGGTATTAAATTTAATTGGTTGTTTTCACTCTTAAAGCATTGTTATCTAAAACGTATATTATTAAAAAATGAAAATTAATCACATGTTAATATTTTTATGAAAATTTGCATAAAAACAAAATGTAATTTAATAAAATAGGTTTTTTTAGGCCGGCATATTTTTAATATTAACTATTAAAATGTGGCGAAAAATAAACAAATAAAGTTATTTATTATTAAATTATTTACATGCCAATTTTTATTTTACTTTTCCTTTTGGTTAGTGCGGTTAGGATATTTGAAACCTACGTATTTCCTGGACAAGATATCAATTATCTGGTAAAATTATTAATTAGGTATATTAAAAAAATCCATTTGATAAACAATATTTATTTGTCTATAATATGTTCAAAAAGTATGAGACTTTTTTTTGACTCACCCCTGTAAAATCTTTATTTATTGTGCGAATTTAACCGGATTTTTTTTAGATAAACTCTATTTTTTAAACAAAAAACGTCATATTTTTACAAAATATAAGGCCTACTATGTAAGTTTTTAAAAGCAAATTTTTAAAAATTCATATTGGCGATTTTTTTAAATAAAATCTAAGCACGGCACTGGTAATAATTAAGCTATAAATTAACAAAGGTGACAAATATTTACCCCATGTCCATTATATAAAATTAAAGCTATAACTTGGCCATGTAATAACTACGTTAATATTTGGATGTAAATATAAAGCTATCGATCTATTTACGAAAAATCCAAACTCGGCTGTATATAGGTAAGGAAAAGAATTTAACTTTTATACACACAAGATTAAATCTCACGACCTTTATATATTTTGCATTCACTTTTACAGGCCATTTAACATTTAAAAATAGGCTAAATTTTCCACACTAAATAAACTAATTATATTAATTATGAATATGCTTCGGATTGGCCCGAAATGTAATATTTTGTAGTAGTGAACAAGTGTTTATTATTCACATATTTTAAGCACATACATTTATAAAATAAAGGTAAAAATGTTATTTTTTGTTACAATAAGTAATTTTTGTAACAATATTTTAATTGTTGTCTATACTTAACATAACACAATTTTTAATCTTCTTAAAATTTTAGTTTGTGTTGTTTTTAAAAAAATATAATAATAAATATCGTTCATTACATGTTTAATATTTTATGTATCAAGTTTGATAAAAGCCATTTTAGTAACGAATGTCTAGTAAAGTTTATAAACTAGTTGCATACTAGTTTTTCTACGACAAATAGTTATCTAAACATGATTTAAATTAAATATTTGTAAAGAGCGACATCTAACAATAGAGTAACCATTTTTATGAGTAAATCGAAAATTATCCCTTGAAAATGGACCAACAACAGTTTTTCACATTAAAAGTATTTAATGTTTTATGGGTACGCAACGGTGGAGTCTCCACCCGAAATTAAGTTAGATATAGTTTACTGCCGGCGAAATTAAAAGGTCAGTTCAATGTTCATATAAACTTTTCAAATATTGGCATCAATAAACTATTTAATACTTGATATAATAAAATAATTTTTACATTTAGTATTATTTTACAAGAAAGGCTCTTTATTTTAACGATTGTATGATATTTGACAACTGTCAACAAACTTAAAAGTAACGTCAGCTCGTGACTAAAAACCTGTTGCTGTTGCCCGTGACTAAAGCGCCATAAAGCCTTAACTTGTAATGTGTATTTAAAAAGTCAATTAGTGTCATGGATACATGTACGATTAAGGGCGTTTTAAAGGTGGGAGTAGAAAAATACAATTATTATTATTAAAATTTAAATGCCTTTGACGTTTTTTAAAATTGCATAACAATTTTTTGGAAAGAAAATCTTAATTTACAATTATTCTGTCATTAGAATAGGTTTTGAAAAAGTTTTAAAAAGTAATTATATTTTATAAAAAAAAGTATTTTCTCAGAAAAATTGAGTACATTAGTAATAGTAATGATTTCCAAACTCTTATGTTCAGCACAAATATACTATTCAGGAACTTTTCCTTGACTGTTAAATAGTAATTTAAAAACTACACTCACAGGCAAAATAATCGATCCACACAAATTTTCGATGAATTTCAATCGCAAATAACTTTTTTATTTGGTTTCGGATTTAAACAAATATTAAAGAATATTGTAGATACATTAATGGAGATGTTTTTTACCATAAGTTTAAAACACTCTGTAGAGTGGCAAAACCGTATATTGTTCTAAATTAAGTTTTAATTATCAAGTCACATCTATTTTTAACAGTTTTGTATGAAGAACTAAGGTTGCTATGGTCCATCCATAGCCTACGGAGGATGACAGTGACAGTTTTGTGGAATCATCCCATACTTGGACATGTCATTTACAGCTCTCAAAAGCTATCAAATTGTTTTTTGTAAATTAATGTGTTAATTTTGAGGTGTCTTCTTACTTTTAAAAATGTCTCCGACTGATGTTGCCCTTTGTACTTTACTTCTTGTGACGTTTAAAACACTTGCCACGTAATACTGTGACCGTCCATCCTGGATTAAATTAATGGCTCTGGCAACATCAGTCGGGGACATATCCATTTTTTAAAGTGAGAAGACACCTCAAAATTTAAACATTAATTTGCAAAAAAAATTTGATAGCTTTTGAAAGCCGTGTATGACATGTCCAAGTAGGGGATGATTCAACAAAACTGTCAATGTCATTCTCCATAGCATATGGATGGATCATAGCAACCTTAGTTCTTCATTCAGAAAAATATTGGAAATTGCAATGTTTTTTTTAAATCCATATTTTCCACAAAAATAAATATATCAAGGTGAACCAAAAACAAAACTGTTAAGAATAGATGTGACTTGATAAATAAAACTTAATTTAGAACAATATACGGTTTTGCCACTCTACAGAGTGTCTTAAACTTATGGTAAAAAACATCTTTTTGTTTAAACCTGTATATTATAAACGTACGTCTATTTTTTAGAAATTTTTTAAAATGTGAGCGATTTTCCATTAATTTATCTACAATATTCTTTAATATTCGTTTAAATCCGACATCAAATAAAAAAGTTATTTGCGATTGAAATTCATCGAAAATTTGTGTGGATCGATTATTTTGCCTGTGAGTGTATTAAGTAATGAATAGTAACGTACTACAAAAAAGCGACTACATAGTAGGGTGGGCCGATTTTAATATTTTTCAATTATTAAATTGTGCAATGGTGGAAAAGTTGTGCATTTATAAGGCCAGAAAAATATTATAAGAATTTTTTTTTTTAATTTTAATTTCTTAAACTGCCGCAAGGCCTTGAAAGATCTGAATGTAATTTAGTATCGTTATAAATAAGAAAAAAATTATCTGAGAGAAAATAGGGTTAAAAAAAGTTTTAAATGATAAATATTTATTAAAAAAAACAAAAATAAAAATGAATTTATCATCAACACAAATTTAATTCAATTTATAATCCTGTTTTACCTGCCATTTTTCACAAACACCCAAAACCACAAACAGATACTACTTGTAAAAATTTATATTATTCAACTAATGTCAAAATATTATAATTTATATAAATAGTGAAGCCAACTGTCATTTGTCTCACGTCAAACACGAAAATCTTAAAAAATATTTATTCTCCATTTTAGGCAGTCTCTCCAATAATTGCAATTATTGCAAAATTTAAAATTTACAGTTTGACTTCATACAGTTCAAAACATTAAAAAAGAAAAAAAATATTAAAGGAAAATAGTTTACTTTCCTATTTCACAACCTTCCCGCTTATGAATAATTTTAATTTTTTTAAAAATTACTTTTAAATTTTTAGAGGCGTTGCGGCAGTTCAAAACATATAGATATCAAACAAAATATTTTGCAAAAAATGTTTACTTTCCTATTTCACAACTTTTTCTTAAATGCAGAATTTAATATTTTTAAATTTTATAAGTTAAATATAAAATCGGCCCACCCTACTACATAGTATGGCGAATTTTTTGGTAATGAAACTTTTAGTATATATACTATACATATATGTTTATTATTAAAATATTGGACACAGTTTTATTATAAATTAGAATTGATATTGAAATGTATTTTGTTGCAAATGGTAGGTAATTTAATTGTCAAAACACGACTCTTAAAATGTAACTACAAAAAAATCCAATATCTTCTTAATTTTCAGGGTGCAAAAGTATGGATCCCGCACACGGAAAAGGTATGGGAGGCGGCCGAACTGACCGAAGACTACAAGCCCAACAACGCGTCTCTGAAAGTGCTAACCGAAGAAAACGAAGAGAAAAGCTTGGCGCTAAAAGCCGAGAGCGACCTGCCGTTTTTGCGTAACCCCCAGATTCTCATCGGCGAAAATGATCTCACCTCTCTGTCGTACCTGCACGAACCTGCCGTGCTCTACAACTTGCAGGTCAGGTTCTGCCAGCACAAGGATATTTACACCTATTGCGGGATCGTGCTGGTCGCCATCAATCCCTACGATGATCTGCCGATATATGGTAAGAAATTTGGAATAAAATATTTATACAGGTGTAAAAGTACTTTTGGTATGTTGTATATAGGTTAGGGTGCTTCATTTTAAAGCAACATTTTTTTTCAAAGTCCCACCTAAAAATTTTTTAACCGGTCAGAAAACAAAAATGTTGAGCTATTACAATGCTCATAATCTTTATTTTAAGCCGTTGCTATTTAATTTTTAAATATTACCCTTTAAAAACCATTAAAAAACAATGTTTTATTCTTTTCTCCTTCCGCTCGTACAGTAAGAATATTTTTTTCGAATTTCGGTTCTAAAATCTTTATACAGGATGAAATTATCTTCAAAAATGTCTATTTAAGCAAGTCTGTAAGTTGAATATGTTCTTCACAAATTGTCGTTCTACTCGAAAATCTTCTAAAATAGCAGTAAATCGTATTTGGAGACTAAACTATTGATTGTAGATAAAAAACGTAAAAACAATTTTGTAGGGAATTTTTTTCTGTTTCACTTATAGTTTAGCTTGTACAGCCCACAGACCACCAAAACAAATGGACGGCGCATTGCCATTCAATAACAATGCTTTGTTTGCGGTCAATAAACGGTCACAGTCTAAGCGTCAAATTGGAGATAGAATTTTATGTTTTCTTCCAGTGACGTCAACAAACGGTCACAGTCTAAGCGTTAAATTGGCGATAGAATTTTATGTTTTCTTCCAGTGACGTATTGGGATTAAAAAAATAATAAGTAAGTAGGTACTTACAAACGATATTTCCATGTATTGTTATTTTTAGTAAAAAATAATGTGTTTAAACTCCATAATTAACTTAAACACGATAGAAATACACAAACGAAAACACAAAACAACAAGCTGTCAACCTTTTTCTATGCTGTCAAATATGACGAATTTACCAACGTTGTTAATATTTAATTTTAATAATTATTAAATGATTTACTTTCTTTAAATAGAGAAAAATATCTAAAATGATGAACAAATCCTTTTTACAATTTTTTTATTATTCAAACGAATTACTGTTCATTATGTTATGATGAATTTCCCAGTTTAGTCCAAAAAATGAGCAATAGTGGATTCTTTGACTTACGTCACCTACAGGGTGTTAAAAAAAGGGATATTTTTTTTCAAAATTTCATATCCCCATTCACAGGGCACTTGAGCTTGATAGTAGTAATACCCCTTCCTAATAACAGTTAGGTAATCCCTCGGGACGTTTTCGAAATTTTGTGGATATCTTGGCTAACTACGATTATATGGCAATTTTACGAAAATTCACGTTATTCTTCATTTTAGTCTAAAAAATGAGCAATAGTTGATTCTTTGACTCTTATGTCTAATTTTGGAAATACGATATTGTGCACATAGCATGATACTACAGGGTGTTAAAAAAGGAGCAGTTGAGCTTGATAGTCCTAATCCCTCGGGTCGTTTCGAGATTTTAGGGATATCTTGGCTAACTACGATTATATAGCAATTTTTCGAAAATTGTCGTTATTCTCCACTTAATTTCCAAAAATGAGCAAACTTGTAACTGTAACCTGTTAACTAATTGAATAAGTAGTTTGTTATTATAACAAACATTTTGTAGATTTAATAAATGTCAATAATTCAACCACAATTCTTAATTTTTAAAGAAGACCCAGTACCAAAAGTATTTGTTGGAAATTGGGAACTTAAATGAATAGAATTTTGATAAGAAATGTTGCTTTATTAATCAATTTCCAAAACAAAAAAATTAAAAACTACATAAATGAACACAAAAATATCATACACACAATTAAATACCACACCATTCTAAAATCATCAAATTATAAAGAAATTTGGTACAATATAATTATCAGTAGTACTACAACACTTACTGATGTATTTCGTAACTTTAACCCACTTCACTGTATCCCCTAATTTCAGTTTGAAAACTAGTAATGGCATCTTTTTTCGGATACTTCGCACACTCGTTAAATAGGTATAAGGAATGAATAACAATAATAATTCTGGACAGTTTTTACAAACCCGTTACGAATAAGATTAAAGTAAGCAGAAACTTTTTCAACGAAATAATTTGTTAAAAATTAACAAAATAATGTAAATTTAATGACAAAATTAAAAAAAAAATGCTAACAAAATACCTTTACAAAACATTCGATAATATATTTTTCTTTGTTAAAATAATTACAAACCCTTGTTTTCTCCAAGAAATAATGTTAAAATTAAAAAAAAAAAAAATTAACAAACTGCATGTTAACAAATCTGATTTTTCAAATTCGTAAGTAAACTTAATTACTAACAAAAATTAATATTTTTGATTTAACATTGGCTTAAAAGACAAAATGAATTTTATTAAATTATGTTCTTTAATAAAATTACAATTATGACTCCCTAACAAATCCAAAATCAAAAAAAATATTTAAACAAAACAAAAAGTGATATGAATATGTTAAATAACAATTAACATAACCGATTTTTTTGTTATAATTAATCATAATCATAAGAATCAAAACAATCATAATAATTCAAAAAAATTGAACATAAAACTTGTGTCTCTTATTGTCTTTCATTAACAATAATGTAGTATAGTTTTTATCACCTCATGTAAAAATGTTGGGAATTCACATACGAGGTTTTGCACTTTCACCTACGTAATTTTAATATGTTTAAATAAATTTAGTTCATGTAGAAAAAGTATGTGTCCAAGATTTGAACTATTTTTTCAAGATTCAACACCTACATTTTTTTCTTAAAGAAAAGAAAAAAATAAAATTTTAAAATTTAAAAGTTTTTTACATACAGTTTTAAACCAATTTTATGTTGCACCCTCTTACATCCATCTACCCCTACTAAAAAAATTAAATGGCACCCTATACCTTGCAACACATCAATTTAAAGAAAATGCAAGTTCTGATCCATTGAAGTTAAAAAATTAAAATCCGATTACGGATGTAAACTGCGCACCACTCAATGTGTCGCGACCAAAAAGTTCGTCCTTTTTGAAAACGACATAACTTTTTTGTTTCTTGAACGATTTTATTTTGGTCTGTGATGTCTGCTAACCCCATCCTCTGGCAATCCATGCTATAGATATTAAGCACACGGTTCTTCAAGTAAATTTTCTACAGGGTGATATGTAAAACGGCAAAAAATTTCAATAACTTTATCCAAGCCCCGTTTGTAAAACCATAATTTTTTTTTCGTTTTTACTATGAAATAATGAAGTATTATGTGTTACCTTAAAACGTTTTTAAATTTTTTCGAATTGGAATCTTAGCAACGAAAATATGATTTTTTTTCCAAAAGAGTACATTTAAGGCTTTTAGGTAGGCAATATACTCTTTTTAAGAACAAGAAAATAAGATGGTAAAAGATTGTTCCTTGAATAATTCTGAACAAGCGACAAGCAACAAACTTCCATTATTTTCAGAGGGGCCTAAGCAAAGACCACTTTTTCAAAATGACATTTTGGTGAAAATTTGCAAAAACTAAACCTGAACCAATATTTACGTTCGTGACATGTTTTATTTATAATTTTGACCTCCTGATTGTGATTCAGTTGTCAAATTTAAGTTTCAGATAAAACCAAAATCACCCAGAATCAAAATTCGAAAACAATTCCCTGCTGTTAAATGTCTTAATAAAATCCTATTGCTGGCGTGTTTCTTGCATATTTATGATGAAAATGCCATTTGGGGATTCATTTTTTGGGCGAAATTACTGCAATTTGTTTGAGTAGTTAGGATAATGTTACATACACATACACATTTACATATACATTTACATTGCACAGTAGTTATAACCTACCTAATTGGTAATAAAGTTCATTTTTGAAAATTGTATGCGTAGATATAATCATAATCAAAACTTCAACATTCAACAGAAAAATGTAACAAACAATAACAATAATACCTTTCAATATTTCGTTGGCCCTCCCCTAAGCCGTAATAATTCGTTAACCCTCCTGGGCATTCCCTCGAGCAAGTTCCTTAGAAATTTCTGGGGTACTCCATTCTTCCTGAATAGCATTTACCAATTCATCCAAATTTTCCATGCCTCCTTCCCTCTCTTTCATCTTCAATTTTATCCTGCTCCACACATGCTCAATAGGATTCATATCCGGAGACAAAGGTGGCCAATTCATTTTCTCAATATGGTGGTCCCTTAAATACTCATTTACGATATGTAAAAAACTGTAAAAACCAGCATTCGGATTTTATTGACACATTTAACAGCCGGGAATTGTTTTCGAATCTTGATTCTTAGTGATTTTGGTTTTATCTGAAACTTAAATTTGACAACTGAATTACGATCAGGAGGTCAAAATTATGAAGAAAACATATAACGAAAGTAAATATCGTTTAGGTTTAGTTTTTGCAAACTTTTATAAAAATGTCATTTTCAAAAAGTGGTCTTAGCTTAGGCCCTCTGAAAATAATGGAAGTTTGTTGCCTGTCGTTTGTTCAGAATTATTTAAGGAACAATCTTTTACCATCTTATCTTCTTGTTCCTAAAAAGACTGAGTGTATTGCCGAAAAAAAAGCCTTAAATGTACTCTTTTTGAAAAAAAAATCATATTTTCGTTGCTAAGATTCCGATTCGACAAATTTGAAAAACGTTTCAAGGTAACACATAATACTTCATTATTTCAAAGTAAAAACGAAAAAAAAAATATTTTTTTACAAACGGGGCTTGGATAAAGTTATTGAAATTTTTCACCGTTTAACATATCACCCTGTAGGAAATTTACTTGACCAACCGTGAGCTTCATATCTATAGCATAAATTGTCAGAAGATGAGGCAAGCAGACATCACAAACCAAAATAAAATCGTTCAAGAAACAAAAAAGTTATGTCGTTTTGAAAAAGAACGAACTTTTTGGTCGCGACACATTGAGTGGTGCGCAGTTTATATATGTTGGTGTAATATAAATAAAACAAAGTATTCCGTTTTAGCTCAAGATTATATTTACTATAACTCAAAAATTATTAAGGGTGACTAGTTTTTAATTAAAATCCCTG